GTCTTTATTTTACAGTTAAAATAAATGTTTATCAAATAAAGTTTAATGTTACAACTAATCGGGGATCCCTTTAAACTCCAACAACTAAAACAGCGACACTTCCTGTTGTAAAGAGGTAGTGCGCGCTCCTGCAGCAGCTGATCACTTTGTCAGACCATGACTTTATGGCACGACATCAGCAACTCCTGAGCACACGTGAACCAACAAAAGTACACTTACTGCTTGTTGCACCATCCGCCATGTCCTCCGGTGGTTCCATCTCTTTACTGGCACCTGATTTGTTGCTGGTAGCGCCAGTCCGCATAACTTTTTGACTGGATTTAGAATAGAATATCAATTCTACTAAATTAAAATTAATTAATTAAATTTTAATTAAATCTAGAATAGTTCCTGGAGAAACTGTGAGAGGATTGCTATGAATTTCAGTGAAAAAAAAAAGATTTGTCAACTGGAACAGTGAGCATGTGAACACTTTTAATAAAGAAACAAGTCATAAAATTAATACAAAAAAATCATTTTAGCTTGTAAAATTTCCTTTTAAACTCTTCTAATAAGGCAGCCATTTTGAAATTCAGAGCAGGAAAGTAGTGAAATGAAGGACTTTTAATGAGTCTGTAAACACGTCAGAGGCTGATCAGGTTCTGTTAAACTGAAGGCATCATCACGGTGAGATAAAATAATTATTACAACTTTAAAATAAAAAAGTGTCACAGCTGTGAACAAATGGCTCAAAATGTTCTGGAAAAGCTCAGTCCTGAAGCACCTGCTGCACTCACATTCAACCTGCAGACCTTTGGCTCGCTGGTGTCACCTGGGGTCACACCTGGAGTCACCTAGAGTCACACCTGGAGTCACCTGGAGACACCTGATGACACACCTGGAGTCACCTAGAGTCACACCTGGAGTCACCTGGAGACACCTGATGACACACCTGGAGTCACCTAGAGTCACACCTGGATTCACCTGGAGACACCTGGAGTCACCTGGAGACACCTGATGACACACCTGGAGTCACCTAGAGTCACACCTGGAGTCAC